ACAAGTACCTACGTCTCTCCGCCCAGAATGAAGCAGCTGCGCGCTACATCATTAATACCATTCTGTTCGCTATACGTGACAAAGTTGTCCCCTATCCAGACCTTGGCACCTGGCCTTTGAACCTCCAGATGGAGACTCCTTTGATCTCTCGTCCATTCGCCCCTATCGTATGGAGATAAGGGTGGCCCAGACAAGGCCATCAACTTAGTACTTGTTGAGGCAAAGAAGCTTGGACTTGCTAGCTCAGGCGATAACCAGGCCTTAGAATATATGGGTAAGTCTTTATCGAATATAAGCTAAGTTCGAAAAGCTAGTTACTAACTATGATTTCTGTTTCTAGCCTGTGTCCACCAGGAACGAAGGTCACACCCTTCTCGGAACTGCACAGTTTACGGCCTAAGTTTTGATGATGAGGAGTTTCGTTTTCACCGCATTAATCAAAAGAGCGAGGAATGTACATCTAAGTTAATAAACAAGATGCCCCAAAAAATGTAATGTCAATAGGGAAGTAAGTCATAAAAGGTTGCCCACTCTACATCTCTTATAAGGATAAAGCCAGCCCTATCTCCCTAAAAGTATCACGGGAGCCCACTCGCTTATCTTTTGCTTGTTTAGTTTAGCTCAGATGTCTTAAAAGCTATGACCCTTCACTATTTACCCTATTGGTGGACTTGACTTTCTCCCAAGCCACTTGTCATCCAGCCCGCCGATTCGTGGAAACTCCACCCACTTCATCTCGTTGGAACAGAAACTTGAAAAATATCCTCGAACCCTAGATCCCCATTACCCCAGGTGCGGCCCGTGCATGTGACAAAGCTCCAAGCCAATGAGAAATCGAATAGCCGTGAGATACGCGTTGCCCCATGTGCCATTGACTCCGGATACCCCACCACTCAGCGATCCCGAAAGGGCTCCCCGTTTTCTAAATGCCAAAATACTCTTAGTGCATCCAGGGTTTGTTGATTCTGGGGATGGCCTGATCCACCTTGTCTTCGCTCGCATGGGGGTTTTAGTTTCCCCCGGAATGGGCCCTAATCATCTCTTGTGCTTTATATAGCGGCTGTCTCCGCCCACTCAGGTGGCCTCCTGGAGTGTAGTTCATCTTTAACTGTTCTTTCACATCACTTGAGGGCTACTGTCACTGCCCGCTTCTTTAAACACATTGGAGTGTGGTGCTATCTGGGAAATATCTACGACCTCACTGTTAACCTGATCCCTTCCCATCAGAATGGGTCTTTTAATGAGCAGGAAGAGAGCGTACAATTGGTTGGTGCACAGCAAGCTACTCTGAATATACTCTAATCCAACTTTCTAGGTACATCTCCCTGGTTGCAGCATCATGCATGGTCCTCTACGGCTACGATGCATCTGTTTTCAACTCCGTCCAGGGTTCCAAGAACTGGCTGGCTTGGATGAACAACCCAAATGCGAATACCATCGGCTCAATTAATACAGCATACACGGTCGGCGCTATCTTTGGTGGTTTCTTCCTGGGTGGACCCTGTGCAGATTTCCTAGGCCGCAAGCTTGGAATGGGCATTGGCTGTGTTTTGGTCATTGTTGCTACCTTCATGCAAACCTTCACTCCTCGTCACAATCTTGCTTGCTTCCTCGCAGGTAGATGTATTATTGGTATCGGTCAAGGTATTGCATTAAGTGAGTCTTGCTGAATCGCGTGATTGTAAAATAAGTGAACTGACGAGCTACTTTGCAGCTGCTGGCCCTATCTACATTGGTGAACTGGCTCCGCCAGAGATCCGTGGTAAGATCATGACTTTCTGGCAGATGTTCTACTCTGTTGGATCGTTCATTTGTTTCTGGATCAACTTCGCCTGCACCAAGAACGTTCCCCGGCTAGGCGAGTGGGACTGGAAACTGGTTGTTATTTTCCAGCTTTTAGTACCTACTATGATCCTTGCCCTCCTGCCCACTATCCCTGGAAGCCCTCGTTGGTAAGCCCCTTTTAAGTCCTTTTGGTAATTTCCATTGGTTCTGAGCAGTCCTGACCATCACTAGGTATATCCAGAGAGGCAACAACATCGAGAAGGCTCGTGGAGCCCTGCAAAGAGTTCGTGACAGTGAGGTGGAAGTCGAGCAAGAGCTGCTGGAGATTCGGGAGGCCATCGAATACGAGAAGGAAGCCATCTCTAGCAATTACTCTGCTCTGTGGAAGGACAAGTCCCTCCGCAAGCGCATGGGTCTGGCTCTCGTCCTCAATGCCGGTCAACAGGTCACCGGACAAGGCTCGCTCAACTCATACTCTACCAAGATCTACCAGAAGGTGTTTACCAGCGACAGTCAGATTGCTCTGATCAACGCTCTGAACGCCACCTTCGGAATTGTCTTCACCCTGAACGCCGTCTGGATTATTGATCGTTTCGGAAGAAAGTTCCTCTTGATTGTCGGTGGTATCGGCATGGGTCTCTGCATGATTATTGTCTCTGCCGTCGAAACGGAAACACCACAACTCCCCAACGGAGCCAAATCAGAACCTGTCGGTATATCGATTGTGTTCCTTCTGTTCTTGTTCATCTTCTTCTGTAAGCCATCTACTCACTATTTCCCCGCAAACGAAACTCTACTAACACCATTCTCAGACAAACCATCCTGGGGCGCAACAGTGTGGATTTGGACGTCGGAGATTTTCTCAATGAACGTCCGCGCCCAGGCTGTGGGCATGGCATCGCAGACTCAGAACATCGCCAATGCCATCGTGCAACAATTCTTCCCTATTTTCCTCGACAACGAGGGCTTCTATGCTTTCTACATGTTTGCCGGTATCAACTTCCTACTTGCAGTCTTTGTCTGGTTCCTTATTCCGGAGACCAAACAGGTTCCCCTTGAGGAGATCGATATTCTGTTCGGTGGTGCCAACCACGTTGCTCAGGGAGAGGAGGTGCTGGCGCACCAAAAGGGAGCTCAGATGAACCACGAAGAAAACGAGAAGCCTGGTGCTGTTACTGTGGAGCATGCTCGGAACTAGGTGAATTGTGTCAATGCTATGATTTATACCAATTGAGGCTTTTGTGTCTGAAAATATTATAAGCGATACCGGATAAACCACTAAAGCAATCCAAACAATTACAAGAGAATCTCGACGATAAAAGAACTCACCACATCCTCCGTCTTCCAAATATACACACAACAGTACAACCAATGCCAATCATAGCTAAAGTAGAAGCTAAGAGCAACTGAGGAGATGATTTCCAGTCAGAAGACGAGGGTCTATAGCGGAGGATATCGCGCTTTAGCATACTAGCACAGGAGTATTTTGACCTCCAGCATTTAGAGATAACCTCCTGGTAAAGAATACCCTGAAAACTCGGAAATTCTTGGGCCGCGTATTTTCTCCCAATTTCATCATCCTCAACTCGTCAAATAGGCGTATCCGGTGGAGATGTCGTAGATCAAGGACCCAAGCGCAAATAGGTCGGTCTTAACCGTCCGTGGAGAGGAAAGAAATAAGTTGTACGCAGAAGAAATAAGTTGTACGCAGTCTCTTCCGCCACGAAAGACTTAAGACCTTTGATACTTGATCCAGAAAAGTCGCATAGTTCGATTGAAAAGTCATCAGCCACAAGGAAATTGCGTGGACTAATATCGGAGTGGACGATACCATAGGCGTGAATGCTAATAATAGCATCAATAGCATTCCCGACCCATCGATCTCGAGTTTGATCATTGAGTGTGTTATTTTGTAGGTAGTCTCGAACATGCCGTGCCGTAAATATGGGAAATGAATTCCCCTCTCTCGGTGATCGCGATACAGTCCGAGATATTGGGATCTTTTGGGAGAGTTTGGTATATCAGCTTTTCACGATTAATGCATAGTTCTGAGAACTCTTCGGTGCTTTCGACAGTTTCAGTGACTTCTTGGTTGCAACCTTGGACGTTATGTTTGAGAGGTGCCTTGATTGATGACTTGCTCAGGGGCATTGGAATCATGGTGTATTGCCCCAGCACCTCCTAGGGCGAGAATTGGTAAGAGTGTACCTTCAGGGCTTAATATGATGAGGTACACTTCCATGGTCAGTTTGAATGCAAAAAGTAAAGTGGAGGGTTCGTGGAAAGAAAGGGCGAATATCTTCCCTGTCCTAACTGCACGTGATGTCCTTGTGATTCGTTTCTCAGAAGTTCCAAAGCCATCCTGGCCATTATCACACTCTTCGAGTGAGAGTGGTCGACGATAAGATCCGAGCAGATGATTCTAATTCCCAACGGAATAGTCGTCCCGACCATCCAGAGAAACAGACTCCAGACTCGTTATTCACTAATTTCCTATACCCTAACTTCGGCTTCCTTTACACCGAATTCACCAGCCTTTACACCAACTCCAGTTACCTATTCTCGAACTGCCTATTCGGCACACATTCCACATTATACCCCCACACAAAGTTTTTTTTTACTCGAGCAGAATAGCAACCAGCTAGCCAACTACCACCAACAGGGTCCCCCTCGCATGTCTTGTGGCGGGGGATACTCGCTGGAAGTATCTTTGGGACTTTTTCAGGGACGAATTATCGCTGCAGAAACTTTCTATGACAAAACTATCTTACGGCATCTTTGATTCCCCCTTTCAGAAGAATCCAAAGTTTGACCGAGACCAGCAGCCATGCTGTTTTTGGTGCCCAAAGGGCCAGGATGTCGTTTTGTCGTTTAGTGAATAGATCAACCGACTAGCACTTGTGCCATCACCAGGGCCTATCTTATCGGGGACAATGGACGACCAAAGTAAGTAGCCTATAATGTGTGGCTCTCCAGAACTATTCCAATAAAATCTAGAGCCATCGCCCGACAGAATGATACCAGCAAGCAGCAGCTCGCTGAACCCTCGTCATGTGTGCCTGTAAAGACTTGGCCACGCCTACGTAGATGGAGCTATCCTTTAGATGCGATCGATAGAAGTTGAAGCCTCTGGCAAGCAAAGTTCATTACAGCAGAATATCGTGCAACACTAGATTCGTAAGTGAGTGCAGCATCCATAGCCACTTCCAAGTACCTTAGATAATTAAGAATATGAATTCATCCTTTGGGTCGTTGACTGCCGCATAAACGATCTCGAGCGCGCCAAAGCTCTCGTTCCGAGCTTGCCAGGTCCACATCATGGTCGCTTCCATCTCCTGCTTACTTCCAGGCGAGCACATTGAAGGCGCAGCATTCAAGCTCTCGTTAGGGTTGATGACCTCCGGCCAAAAGTACGGGTTCGCTTTGTTGCCAGTGTGGTACAATTTGCGAATCTGAGCCTTAACATTCTCAATTGCAGGCTGAGCTTCGAGAATTGTCAGATTGGCGACGTGTGGATTTCTAGCTATTGTCGAAGTCCTGATGTCTATCATCCCATCCATGATCTTGCGGTTCTTTTCTGTTGCCTCCTCATACGCTTGGGCTCCATGGGCGGTGAGCAAGACGAAATACAGCTTGATTTTGACGAGAGTCAGTGAAACGATGTGCGAAAGACCTTGTATTTCACGGGAAAGGCTCGATTGGCTCAAGTGGATTGGCCTCTCTGATATCCAGGTATGGCAGGGTTGCATCGCCCCAATCGTACTGCGGGTTTTTAGCGGATGTTGCCACCATTTCAAGAAACTGTAGCATTCCTGATCCCTGTTCAAGCGGATCAATAGGCAATGAACGGGATCTCTGGATCCAATGTTGTCACCGCGGCAGAGTCGAAGGTTCTCCATGAGGGTATCGAGCTGCGCTTGAACTGATTCGACATTTCTGACGAAGGTCAGGGCAGCCCCGTAATCAAGACGAGAGTTCATGTAAGGGCGTGTTGGGAGAATTTCCAGAATCGACCGACACCATACGTAAAGTCGTCATTCGGACGGTCGCGCAAAGCTTGTTCTTTGGCTTCCATGTCAACGGGACACTTCTTGATCCTGTTGCAACCATATTTGTGATCTGCGCGGTGGGCAGCTTGATGATCAGCACTGCAGTATGGCATCGCTCTGCAGCCAGAGCAGAGGCGGACCCCATCCTTTTTACCACAGAGGCCACAGCCCGAGGGAAGGGTCTCTTTCATTTGAGACATGTTGAAATAAAGGGGCGACAGTGGGGTAATTTGATAAGGTTGATGGGGGTATTGGAAGGTAAGTTTGATCGAACCCGTCGCTTCGATCCATGGATATGTGAATGTCCGCTTATTGCATTCAAAAAGGAAAGCCTGAATTAAAAACGTGCTTTAGCAATCCAAGTTTTATTGCATCTATTGATAGGTCGCGTGGCCTCTTGTTTACGATGAACGGCCTACCTACATATGACATAGGTAGGTAGGGTGTTAGTGAGCTTGGCACGATTATTAACTAGTAACAGAAGCAGTAATACATTTCATGATGCTAGTCATGTTGAATAGCCAAGCATCAAGTACAGGTAAAGAGCTAGCCAAAACGCAGTCCAGTTTTCCATCGCCAGCGAGAGAATACACCGGGGCTGGCTAAGTAAATGCTGGTGCAAAGCCAATCCAAATATCTTATTCCACAGGCGCTCGAAAAGCCCTTCATGGTAGCCCTCTTGGACCTCACAGGATAGAGCTACATCCAGCAACGCCTAGGGCAATACCAAAGCTCTGGAAGTGGCCGGCAGTGACACCGTACATGCCATTTCCAGCAGAGCAAGCAAGGTCGCGCTGTCCAGAGCACTTGAGAGTGGTGACCCGGAGTCCAGAGCTATAGACTTCCTGCGTAGATTCAGCGGTAAGTGACTGCATCTATACCCAGACAAGCATTGAGACATAACGAGATTACTTACGGTTCCATAATGCTTGAAGCTGTAGGGAATGTTGACATACATGTTCTGGGTGTCTGGTTAGTAGATGGCTGGAGTATGACAATCGCAGAACTTACAGGAACACCATCGGCAATGTTGTTTCCACGGTACAAGGTACCTTTAGCCTGCGCGCCTGCAAAATTAGCCCAGGCATCGTTACCAATGGGGAAAGCAGCCAAAGCATAGCTGGTGATTTGCTTCTCAGGGAAGTTCTGGGCCAGTGCCACGTGCGAAATGTACGTTAGAGAACCACCCAGAGAGTGTCCAGTCGCCTCCAAGGTATAGTCCGGATACCTCGCAATAAGGGACTTCACTTCGGAGATGACATCGTCGTGGACAGCCTTCCAAGGACGATTGATGCCGCTCATGATCTTCACTCCCGAGGGGAAGTCTACGCCAGAGAAGGATGGTGTGACGAGGTTGGTGCTGATGTCGTTGATTATGTCGGCCACTATATGAGTTAGCAATGCAAATTCTGTGTCATATAGAATCAAGAGAAAGTCTCACTAGTGGTCGAGCCCTTCATAACGACAGCGATTGTCTTCTTCTCCGACGAGTATCCAACATATCCCTAGTCGGGTCAGTTTCGTTCTGGACGAAAATGAATAAACATTACTTACCTGGGTGTCAGTCAAGGTATCATGGATTTTCTTGGTGATAGTAATATCAAAAGCCGAGCCGGTACAGCCAGTGTACGCAGCGGAGGAAAGCTGGGCTGCGCGTTGAAGGGGATTCCAGAACGATATGTCTTGAATTGAGGTCAGTAAATATCATAGGAACCAAAGTTTGCATTTGGGTTACAATACCAGAGCTTGCTCTTTCTTCCAGCAGAGGCGCGGCGAAAGCCTGGGAGATCAGGGCAATTCCGGCCAAAACAGTTCGGGTATCAAACAACATTTTGGATAGAACTATAAAAGAAAAGGCGGCCTTGTGAATGCCTATTAAGCAAGAGGAATTGAATGGGCCAGCGGAGTGCCTGCTGGAGAAGGGATATTTCAGCTAGCCACCTTGCTCTTTAAATACTTCTAGTACCCTTTCGATATTTCATTCTCATCATCTGTGCGCCCTATATATTCCGAAATCCATACCCGATACCTGGGCACGAGGTCTGAAGCGGAGATGTCTTCTCAAACAGGAAGTAGGCGTGTCAGTCTAAAACTAACTAATGTATGGGAGATATGCACACCAACCTTCGGGGAACTCTCCGTTCCGGCACTTGAGACCTCGGCCAGGTGGAGCCGAAAAGAATGAGAATTCCAGAATCTAGACATAATTGGAAGGGGATCGTGTTCATTGGTCTCCGAAGAAACCAAAATTGTGTGGGACTGCTGATAACTCGATGCATTCGAATTTTCTTTGATTGCCGACGTGTATGAATTGGAGAATGAAACATGATCCGTTCATCACACGTGGCTACCTATTTCTAAGGCCTCCAAGGAGCTATCCTAATCCGGTTGGAAAGTTGAGGTTAAATCGCCTGTTCTTGACTGTTCGTGTGGGGTTGATGGATCTGCCCTAGAAACGAGTCATTACTCAAAAAAAAAAAAAAAAAAAAAAAAAAA